GGCGGGAGGCGGCGTCGGACACGGAGTGCATGACCTTGAGCGCATGCAGGCGGCGGGGGGCGGCGTCGGTGTATGCTTCTGCAGAGGTGCCCGCGGGAGTGTCGGGGACAGGCGCCGGCGGGAGGGTTTGCAAAGACGCCGGCGGGCGGCGTCGGCAGGGGCGCGTGGGCGCGTGCCGGCGGGTTGCGTCGGCGGGGAGGTTTGCATAGGTGTTTGGGGGAGGTGATGGTCGGCGTGCTTGCGGAGTGGACAGCCTGGCGAGGTCAGGGGCGGCGGCGGGACGCGGCAAAACTTGCACAGCGCAGTGAAGCATTGTGCAAAGGCGTCGGCCGGCGGCTTGTGTCGGCGGCTGGCGTTGGGGGAGGCTTGGAATCATGAGCTGGCGGGAGGCGCCGGCAGAGGGCGGTGGCGGAGGCGTCGATGGGGTTTGAACAACTTGACACTGATGACGGTGGGGCGAGATCAAGATCCTCAAACCACATGGACACCCCATCACCCTCGATGCGTCCGCTGCCACATGCGTGCCGCTGCCGCCGCCGCCTACTGCAGAGCCAGGCCTCCTTAGTGTGCGGTTTGAAACGCGCGCGCAATGTGTGGGGAACCAACACCGAAGCTATCAAGCCCCGCGGGCGAGAGGTTGGGGAGGCCGCCCCTCGCAGCACAAGCCACAGGCACTCAGCACATCAGCTGCGGCGGGGCCACCGACCGCCGGCCAGCACGACCGATCCAATTGAATACAACATCCGATGTACAAGCGGTACAGTGTAAAACACCCAATCACCCGATTTAGAAAATTTTCGAGACACCCAGTGAAAACACTAAGCCAATTCAGTCAGGGCCCCACCGCGTTGATTGCTGCGTCATGACCCCTGAACTTCCAGGTCGACTTGCCGGTGGCCACGTCCCACAGGAAGACCTGCGGTCGGTCGCAGCCAATGACGCGTCGGGGTTTAGGGTCGCAAACGATCCAGGGGAGCCATCATAGCAATCAAAACAAACACATGGTGGGAATCGGAGCCTCAGGGAGTGCTTTTAATCCCCACCCCCGCGGCCGGCCGGCCGGCCGGCAGGCATCAAGACGCTGGCAGGCCGCTTGCACGTGGTGCGCCCACACGCGGCTCGCCTGCTTGTCGCCGCCGACGGAGGCGAATTGGCTGTTGTCGCGGGGAACTGACGCGTCCCGCACCTGGGGGTGGGGTCCGGGGGTTGCGGGGACGGGCGTCGCGGGGGCCGCGCCGGTCCAGATGTTCGCGGGGGCGCTCGCGTCGTGGGGTGTGCGGCGAGCGCCGGAGGGGCCCCCGGCCAGCGAGGCGCCGCCGCAGCGTGCGTGCGGGCTGGACGCAAAGAGGAGCCGGCCCGGCCGCGCCGGCCCGCGGGGCGGCCGCGCGGCGCGACGTGTCTTGAGTGCGGGGCAGCGGCTGGCGGGGCCCCGTGCCAGCCCGTCCTGCGGCACAGCTTGGCGCAACCGCCCCGCTGCAGCGCTGCTCGGCGCGCCGGCCGGGGTGCAGGCGGCCCTCGCCGCCCCGCCTGCCCGCCCGGGCTTTCGTCGCTTGGCCGCCGCCGGCCCCTCAAGCGCAGGGGTCGCGCAGGCGCGGGGGGGCCCCTCGACATCTTGCCCGTGCATACGGCTGCACGGCCAGCCGCGCGGGCGGCAGTGCGCCAGGGCACCGCGCGTGCGCGTGCGTGTGCGTGCACGCGCCTCATATCCGTGCCCCGAGTACGTCTTGACTGGGATGCCTTCATGGGGGCTCCACAGGCGGATGGTCCGTTCCTGCGGCGGCGGCGTTGGTTTTTTGGGGGCGGGGGGGCAGTGAGGGCGGGACGACCTGGGCACATAGCACGCGCGGGCGGAAGGCTCGCCGCCGGCCGACGACGGGCTGGCGGTGGCAGGGACGCTGCAGCGTGAGCAGGCGTCCACAGAGATGTGGGGGACGCGAGCGGCTGCGGCCGGACGCATCCCTGTGGGACGCCCCGGCCACCCCTTCGCCTGCAGTCTTGCCCGGGCCCACGCTGCTCCCAGTGCGGGCGCAGCCCGCTGGCCCCCGCGGCATGCTCCGGGAGCGGCGGGCGCTCTGCACAGCTGCACAGTATCAGATCGGTTCTGTGCACACACAGGGTGGGCCCGGCGCGGGCCCACTCATTGGCAAGGTGCTGGCAGCGGGTGCGCACTTCCTTCCCGCATGATAAGCAATATGTACCTTGTGTGTTGAAGCGCACATTGAGCATCGCACCCTCGCGGCCCGTCAGGACGAACGCCTCTTTGTTGGGCAGCTGATCGGCTGGGTTTGGGCGCCGGCCAGACCGCTGCCGCCGTGCCGCGGCCATCGTCGCAGCGGCGGCGGCGGCAGCGGCAGCGGAGCAGGGCGTGGTGCGCAGGCGACCTTGGGGATACGACGTTTTGACTGTGGGGCTTACGTTCTTGTGCGTGTATGGTTGTCTCATAAACAAGAGATGTCTCAGGTTTGGAACGGGGCGTTCAACTCACATGAAACTACCGGTATAAGATCAGACAGCTCAGCTGCGAAAAAGCCTGGAATAAATTGCAGCAGATTAATCGCGCAAGCATCACACATGCGATGCAAGGGTGAAACCGTTCTCAAGGTATGTGATTGATGGAGAGACAGTGCCGTCACCTGGGTGACAGCGCGCACATGTGCAGGGTTGCCATCCCTCAGGCAAGAAGCCGCCGTGAAACCATCAGCATTGCTCCTGGGATGTCAGCACAAGCAGCCTGTGCTTGGGAACGAAGCATCCGGGTCGCTATATGGTCATTGAAAAGACCGTATGCATGCAACAACCTCGTCGCCACATGCAGTGTGTCAGGGGCGGCCTGCCCTGCTCATGTGCTTCCATCGCGCTACGCTGCAACATTGCTAGGGGGTTCCACACAGTGCATGGTTACCGTGAATGAGGTATTTGTGAGTATTTGACCTCTTCGGAGGGGTGCAAAGACGTTCACGGTACAGCAGAAACCTGGCACTCTCTCATCACGAATCTCTCGTGTTGAACGAGCAGTCGTATCAGCGTCGGGATTTGCAGCGCAATGCCTCGATGGTCCAACAAGCCCTGGGCTGCGCAAGCTGACTGTTGTTTGACCAGCTTGGGCTGTGGTTTATGCAGGGTGCGCCGCAACGCCATTGCACTGCGCCTTGAAGATTACATAGATACTGGCAATTCTTGTACGGTAGCTTTTCTTTGCAGGCACTGCGGTCAGTCGATCGGTACGGTAGGAACGCGGGATGGATAACTGTGCCCGACCACGTCAGCCTCGTAGCCTTTGATGCATTGTCATCAAACTTTTGTATACCATCATCAATAATTTGACATGGGTTCCAGGCAGAACAGTGCGCCGAGGGATTTCTGCTTTCTCCCGACTGATGGAGAGGTATATATGTCCACACGCAGGACTGCATGGTGCCGCAGAAGCGATGACGACCCGAACCAGGTGTGCAGCACCGCGGCCGAAGGATCTGCAGACGTCCCGCCGCTCAATCCAGCAGAGCGCATGCAGCCCTTGCTCGTGTGCTGTGACAGCCGCTGACGGGAATGGCACTTGTGGAATAATCGACACCCTCTGATGGGTTTCCCAGGCCGTAGCACCGGACGACAACACCAAGGCGGCCCCCCAGCCGGCCGCCGCTCCCACCACTGACGCCGGCCTCGCGGCGCGGCTATGCGAGGCGGAGCGGCGCTGCGCGGCGCTGAGCGAGCAGCTTGCCGCCGCGAACGACTACATCGAGACCCTCGAGTACGAGCTGCTCCAGGCGCGGGCGCGCCAGCGCGGCGACGACGACGACGAAAGCCCTGACGCGCCGGAGCAGCGCCTGCGGCGGGCGCTGGACGCGGGCCGCAGGGAGCGAGAGCTGGAGCAGCGGCTCGAGCGCACGCAGCAGGAGCTGGAGACCGCGCGGCGCACGGCGGCCAGCGAGGGCCAGCGGCTCATGAAAGACAGGGAGGCGCTGCTCGATGCGCGGAAGAGGTGGGAGGGGGTCTTCGAGTGCCAGCACAACCGCATGTACAACATGCAGGCGGCGCTCGACCAGGCCAAGATGGCGCATGCGTGTGCTGCGCATGACGCGGCGCGGGAATGGCTGCGGGAGGAGCGGGAGCAGGCGATCTGGGAGGCAGACGGCGCAATGCAGGCGCGCATGCAGCAGGCCTTTGGCGAGGTGGTGGCGCGCAGGGACGAGATCGTCGCGGCGCTGCAGGCGCTCGGCGCGGGCGGCGGCTGCAATGCGGCTGCAGCGGCGGGCGGCTCGGGAGCTCGGGTGCTGCATGTGCGCACGGCAGACAGTGGCGACGCAGACGGCTGACCTGCGGGGCGCTGGGTGGCGGGTGCTGCAAGCACGGGCATTTGTCAATGCCACGTATGCATGATGGTTCTCTGGCTGGTAATTACACCTTTCAGGCTGCTGGCTGTTGGTGCATAGCGCTGGTGTGCATTTGGCGAGGTGCGGCAGCACAGCAACGATGCGGTCAGGCAGCAGTTGTGTGCATGTCTTGGCAGTGACCACAGTGCTGGTTTGCGTGCGTGCAACAGGCACCCAGGAGCTGCAATATCTTTATGTGATTATCTCAAGGGAGTGGCCTGCATGCTTCAGGCCGTCATGCATGCTGCACAGCATGCACGAGCGACCACAGCTGGCAGCCCGAGCTCAGCTGTGCATGTGTGGCGGAAAGCGCCGGAGCGGGCGCCAAAGGCATGCCCCCTCGAAGCCACACTTGATTGATGAAGCCAATAAAGACCCATGCCAACCCCAGACGGCTCTTGCCGTGAACTGCATGACCAGCATGAAGCTGCTCAACGCCGGTTGCAACGAGAGCGAACAGCACAATCTAATCGCCGCACGCCCAAGAACGTCGTTGCAATTGCAGCAATAATACCTGTCGAGTGTGATACAACGCACTGTTAAATCATGATTGCGGCCACAGATGACGAGTTTTTGAACTTGGGAGCGTGGATAATGAGGGTCGAGAGGTTTATATCACAGCAAGGCGGCCTCTTTTGAAGTTCACAAACGATCAGGTGTGGCTGGGCTCCCAGCAGCGCTGCAGGCGCCCATGTCAAGATCGGCGCAGTGTGCGCAGAGCGAGCGGATGACAACAGCGGCGCCCATGTGCAGCCCTGCCTGCAGCAAGGTCGCTCATGGGCACCAGTACGTCACGGCGTGCTTCATGCACGTGCGCCTTCACTCGCAGGCAGAGGCCTCCCTGCTCGCCACCAAGGGCCGCGTCACACCGGAGCGCTGCGACCCCCAGCCGCGCGCCCCCGATCAGCTTGACGCTTTTCTGGCCCGCTGCATTGCAGAGGAGAGCAGCCGCAGCGGCAGTGCCGGGGGCGGCGAGCGCAGTGACCGTGATGGCGATGGAGTCGGCGGCAGCGGCCGCAACGAAGATTGCGGCGCGGACGCCGCAGCCCTGTTTTCGGCGATGCAGCTGTGCCTGGCCGCCGCCGACCGCGCCGCGCCTGCCGCGCGCCGCCGCGCCGCCCACGCGCGCGCCGTCGAGGCCGGGAAGCTGCGTCTCGAGGCGGCGCGGTGGCGGGGCCGCCTCGCTGACCTGGAGCTGCGGCTGACGCATGCTGCAAACGAAAACGATGCGCTGTGGCACGAGCTCGAAGATACTGTGGCCGCGCGCAGCCTGCAGCTCGGCCTTAACGAGGCTGAGGAGGCCGCCACGCGCGCCAGGCTGCTGCGCTGGCGGGAGCTGTGCGGTCAGCTGCTGCGGGAGGAGCTGGCGCTGGAGCGGCGGCTGCGGGCCGGGCTGGCGGCGCTGAGGCGCGGCCGCGGGCCGCTCCCCTCACGTATCGCCGCGGCCTTCGCTCAGCCTTGGGGCTGCGGCGGGCTGGCGCAGCGGCGTGGGCTGCCGGGGTGGCAAGGGGCAGGCGGCGGGGACGACGTGGAATCTCAAGTGCCGCCCAAGAGGCCTCATATGAAGCAGAGGCCAGAGCCAGAGCTAGAGCCGGACCCGGTGCGCTCCTCCCGCAACACGACAGGAATTTGGGTGGAGAGGGGCGGCGGAGAGGGCGTACAACAGCCTGCTGCGCTGATAGGTTTCTTTGCATATGCAGGGAATTGGGGGGCTTGGGGCAGGCGCTGCGAGGCAGGGCCCTGCTGGCACACCGGACTCCATCAAACACTGCCCTTGACAAAGCGCCGGCAGCGGCGGTCAGCAAGGGCGCAACGCTACCCTGCACATCAGCACCGACGCCGCCTTCCCCGAAACACACCTGCCTCCATGCACCGGCGTGCGCCCAGCCGCCCCGATCCCTCGCACGCCCGCCCCCGGCCCGCCCCGCCCACAGTTTGGTCCCGGGGTGCTGTTCCCCATGATCGGACCCCCTACGGTCCCCGGTGAGCGCGCGCGCTCGTCCGAGCAGCTGCCCTCCAGCGAGGCGGCCGCGGCCGCCATCGCGGCCCCGGACGCCGCCGACGGCGCCGCCGTTGCAGCCGAGGGCGCGGCGCCCGGCCCCTGCTCGGAGCGCGACGCAGAAGCCGCCGAGGCCGCCACCGACGCAGGCGCGCTCGTGGCCGGCTTCCTCCGATTTTGTGAGGACGACAAGCAGGGCTGCGCGGCGCCGCTGCGGGCGCTGGCCGCCGCATTTCCACGCCGCCTGGACGGCGCCGCGCGGCGCGCGGCGGCGGAGGAGGCGCGGGCGGCGCACGAGGCGGACAGGGCCGTGATCCATGCGCACCAGGAGACGGCCAGGTGGTTGGGGATGGCGATGCACCTGGAGAGCCTCCGGGCGTCCCACGAGTTTGATACCCGGCAGCGGCGGTACTATATTCGCCAGGAGCGGCGCAAGGCGGCGGAGGAACAGGCGTGGCACAGGGGCGTGATGGCGAGGCTGGCGGAAGGCGGGGAGGCGGAGTGGGGGGCGTTTGGGCGCGAGCTGGCGGGAGTGCAGGAGCGGCAGGATGACCTGCTGGGGCAGATTTGGGGTGTGATGACTGGGTAGGGGCGAACGGGCAGACCTGGCTGCTGCTGCGGCTGCCGCCGCCGCCGCCGCCGCTGCTGTCCCACGCATGCATGTGTCTGACACACAAACCCTGTTCCCATTATTCGAGTAATTGCACAATCACACTTTCCCCTGTAACTTCTTGTATAAACCAGCAACACGCATGCACAGCCTGTGGTGTGGGTAAAGAGTGGACGTTTTGTCGCAAGAAGCATGTCGAAAGTGCAAGTCACGGCCGTGATCAGCAACGCCGACGAGTCCGCGCAGCGCGCCACCGCAAACAGGCCACCGACGCCTACCCCCCTGCTTCACGGATGCGAGCGGCTGCCACCTTCCCAACGCACAAGCCACAGCAGGTCGCGCAGCCCCGCGCTTGCGCCCGGCCGGCTGCCATGGGGGAGCGTGCGACCGGCTGCAGGCAGTCCGTCCCGGCGCTGATGTCTGCACCATAACATGAACCGCACCACCCACAAGGGCAAGCATGCAGGCTGATCAGGAAGCCACCACGAATCACTCTCTCATTACACTTCTGTGGGCTGAATTGCGGAGAACGACTGCTGGCTGAAAACGAGGTTTGCGATCGAAGCAGAGGCGGAAAAGCATGGCGCTCAGCCCCCACCCTGCGATGGGGCCCGCGCCAATAAGCGGCGCAGGCCGCAGAAAAGGACGAACGGAGCAGAGGAACGCGGAACACGCAACAAAATCCGCGCCGCGTGCAGTGTACTCACACAAGCGTGAGCAGCAGAAGTGAGCCAAACCCGAGCCGCGCGCGGAACACGCGCCTCACGCATCGCGTGTGGTCGCAGCAGGACACCGCACGGCCTGCCGCCGCGCGAGCACCCAAAAGGAAAGCAGCGCCGCCGAAAAGGACAGCAGCGGCAGACGCCAGGGGATCGTCGAGACCAGAGCCGGCGGGGGGCCGGCTGCAAAGCGCGGCCGTGGCTCAGTCAGGGGAGCAGCAGGACGGGGCAGCTGACGAACTCTGCGAGGAGGTTCGCGTCCACCTCCTTGTTGTGGACGGCCTGTGGTGGATTGTGAATTTGAATTGAAATCGCGACAGCCAGCGGTTGGTCAGGGCAGGCAGTCGCCAGGGCGGGCGCGCGGTTGCGACCGCTGACGTCGGCAGCCGCTGCATGGCGACCGCAAAGGGGTTGAAGCGCGAGCATGCACATGAGCAGGCGTTACATGATCCGCGACACAACCAGCTGCGCAGCCGCCACCTGCCCCTCCTGCGCGGCCGGCGCCTGCCGCCGCGCATCCGAAGCTTGAGGGCCGCAGGCGCGGCGCGGCGGCTGCCGCCGCTGGCGCC